CCCCCCCCCCCCACCTTTTTTGCTTCAGTGGTAGCTGCTCGCAACAGAAAATGCGCATGAGGTAGCATGAAGAGTGCATTCATAATATCATCATGGTCACTTTCAAAATTTTCCACAATTTATTCGCAATTTTTTTAGCAGCTTCTCCATAATTTTTATTATCAGTTTTCTGATCTTACCAGTGGTTCTTCCGCTGCTGCTATGATACCATGATGATTATTTTCTTCAGCCTCCTAAGTAGTGGCGCACAAACCTCGAAATGAGGGCCGAAAGGCCTAGCATAGCTATGGGAGCATTCTCAGTAGCGTCACTAACATATGATATCCACAGTGGTTGTCCGGGGGTTCTTGAAGCTATTGTGTTTGTACATTTTCGCTTTTGCTGTGCTTAACAATTGGCTATTTGCGTTTGATATTCACAGTGGTATCTGCGTTTGTCGAATTCCATACTATTTTATCATCATGCATTTTGTAATTTATCTTTAAAATTTATTCAGGATTGTCGCTCAGCTTGTTTGTTTCGCTGTCGCACGGGCACTTTACTTTGCAAAGTAAAGTGAGTGAAAATGGTGCAAAAGATGCGAACCTGTTGAGATGAATGAGTGCTGGTCGCACAATGGTCGCAACGATCGCAGTGCTGTTGCTGCATATCGCACCAGTATTTCTGCATCTTACGACAGCTTACGATCAGCACGCGGTACAAGCATTCATTGCACTCAAACGTGTAGTGACTCGGAGCAAAGAGTTCAGGAGATGTGGCAAACAGTGACACAAAATTTAGGCGCGATTGTGCAACAAATTAGAAGCCCCTCGCCCAAGTTTACATTACGATCTTATTGTAATGTTTCAGTTTAATACCAGCTTCTCCAGTTTAGTCTTAACCTCATAAATGAGTTCTGTACCGATAAATTGACAATTCTGCAGAATTTTTCTTCTGAACAGTGCCACCGCTCCTAATTAATCATTTTTGCAAGAAGCAGTGATTCTTCACTTTTAGGAACGACTATTCGAAAGGTCAAAACCCGTGCCGTATTTGCCGTGTACACGGGAAATAGCTTACTGGTAGCAAATGCCAATAACACTTACCCTCTGCGATTGTTTTCGATGGTTTTCTTTCTCAGAGGTTGCTTACAAACAAAATGATAGCAGATTTAATCCTCTAGCGCATGCTAGTACCAATTTACTATCAGAACGAATGAACGAATCGTAAAGGGATTAGTTGTTTCGCCAACGGAATCGAGCTGTTAAGCCACAGCACAACAGTACTACTTTATCATAGTCATTCAGTACTTGGTAATAATAATGATAATAGTATTATAATCATACAATAATAATAGTAATATCGCTCAGCAGTTGAGTGATTCAGTGATTTTCAGTATAAATTTTACCGTTGATTATTCCATGTCTTGCAGCTTGAATATTTGCAAGAATTTGGTTATCTGCCGGAACCAGCGCATGGCGTAGGGGCAATGCTTAGCGAAACAGTCGTTGAGGAAGCAATACGGGAATTGCAGATTTATGGAAAAGTGCCAGTAACCGGAAAAGTTGATGCTGCCACCAAAGAACTGATGTCCAGAAAAAGGTATATACTCTGATACTTTGATCAGCTATTGCTTCAATGTAGCAATTTCTCGCCATTGATGCAGCTGGCAGTTTCTCCATTCCCCTCTGTTTTACTTCTTTTCATCCACATAATTCTATATAGCCGTTTAAGCGAATCCAGTAAAATATATCCTATATATCTTAAAATAATTTTGTAGGAAGTAACACTCAAATATCATAAAATTAGATTTTTTCTCAGCGAAACTCAGTCGTTCATGCCCCAGTTTCCGAGTAAAAAAAACAATAGTTTGAGCGGATTGAAAAGCACAGCAGGGAATACGTTCCAAGAATCGTAGAATTCAGGAAAAGTCTCGCGCAAAATGCTCTCTTTGTCTTGACCGTCTATGTTCTAAACAACGACGATGTATATAAGGATTACCAAATGTGGATCGGTTAAGGAAAACCGGGCACAGTTAATTCTGAACATTTTTTAGCCTAATTGTTGAGGACCCGCATGACCTCAAAAATGAGTATGAAAAACTGCGTACTCCACTCGCACCTATGAATGGAGCATTTACTGAGGCAGTGAATAAGCAAATAAAAAAAA